AGGGCATTTCCAGATAAACAGAAGTTTAGGGAATTTGCAAAAACCAAACCAAAATTACAAGAAATACTAAAAGCTGTCCTCCATTTAGAAAATCAGTAACATCAGATGACAACTCGAGACTAGAAGACAGGACAGAGGAAAAACATATCAACCCAGATAGGGAAGTCACAAAATTAAATCAAAGCTAAAACACTGAACATAGGGAAACAGATGTCAATAGGTAAAAGATGACAACATTAAAACAAAAAAGACGGACTTAAAAAATGTAGACATAGATTTTTCATATGGAGAGGAAGTCAAGGCGATAGAAAGAAATAAAAGACTGCTATAAACTTAGAAAAATAGGAGCAAATGTTAAGGTAACCACTAAGGAAACTAGAAATCCTACAAGTCAAAACAAAAAACAAGAAAAATGTAAAGACTCAGCAAACACAAAATCAACAACAATGAAAAACATGAAAAGAAAATACATAAAGAAAAATGACCCAGCACAGAAAATTAAGTTGAACAAAGAAACTGTGAACAACACACAAAAAAAGACATCAAAATGACAGCACTAAACTCATACCCATCAAAAATTACGCTGAACGTAATTGGATTAAACGCACCAATAAAGAGACAGAGAGTGGCAGATTGGATAAAAAAACACGATCCATCTATATGCTGCCTACAAGAGACACACCTTAGACTTAAAGACACAAACAAACTAAAACTCAATGGATGGAAAAAAATATATCATGCAAACCAGACTGAGTCCAGTACATGTAGATGGTGCCCAGCTACCACCACTGACTGCTCTGACCGGGATCACAATAGAGGGCTCTGGACAGAGCTGGAGAAGGAAGTAGAACAAAATTCTAACACAGAAAAAAAGACCAGATTAACTGGCCTGACAGAGACTGGAGAAAATCCGAGAGTATGGCCCCCGGACACTCATTTAGCTCAGTGGTGAAGTCACTCACAAGGTTCAACGTTCTGCTGGGGATTGGACAGCCCCATAAAACAAAATGGGACTAATGAAGCACAGCAGTTCAGGGACAAGAACTAAAAGGCAAAAGGGGACAGGAAAGCTGGTGATAGGGAACCAGGGTTGAGTAAGGACAGTGTTGACATGTAGTGGGGTGCTTAACTATTGTCACAGAAACTATATTCTTCTGTAAACCTTCATCTAAAGTGAGAATAGCAGCACAACTTGAAGAATGTAATCGACATCACTGAATTGTACATGTAGAAATTTTTGAAATGGTGTATATTTGGCTATGCATATTGTAACCAAAAAAAAAAAAAGGTCCTCCAAGGCAGAGAAGCGAGGGTGTTGACATGTCTTGGGTTGTTAACCAATGTCATAAAACAATATGTGTACTGACTGTTTAATGAGAAAATATTTGCTCTGTAAACTTTCA